TTCTATTTCACTGCAAAAATATGTTCAGTCTTAAGATTAAATCTGTACAGTATAAAGTTGATATTTTTTAAAAAGATTTTGACTTTTAGTAATGTATGAAGCAGTTCGTTTTTACTTGCAAGTACAGTTATAAGTATACCTTAAGTTACCTAGTTTAATATTGTCTTACTGTGTGGGGTTCCAAATCTGATGCTGATACAAACGCTTCCTATACTCAAACCAAACTTGGTGAGGTAGTTTTCTATAGTGATACTGAACTATCAGATAGAAGTTTCTAAATTTTTAGAGATGTATGCATGATAGATGATACAATATACTGTAGACTCTAAGGATTAATACTGAAATAACAAAATACCTTAAAAGCTTATTCAAAACACTGTAACTTCTTTGTATTTACTTGGGATGGCTAACTCTAATATTGACATTTTTGTACTACTGACGGTTTGTAATTTCATAAGAAACCTTAGTTTCGATGTTTCAACTGAGAAAATGATCGTTATATTCAAATAAGCTGCATCATATTTTAACCAGAAAAATGTTCTGGAATGGTCTGGTCTTCATCCTTGTTGGACAGTATAAGGGACACTGGTTGAAGGCACCTAACATGCATTACATTTATATATGGTCACATCATTTTTGGCAAGTTGTTGGTTGATAAAATCTTACTACGAAAAGACCGACTAATATTTTGTGTTATTGAGAAAGATTTGTTACTCAGAAAAGTGATCCTAATAAAGTTGAAATTCCTTAGCTGGACAGTTCAGTAGTTGAGTTTTCACTGATTTCGCAGACTAAAGAATTATTTTTATCCAATTAAACAGTCAGATAAGTAACATTATGTTGTTTTCGAGTTCTAAATGAGTAACTGGAATCGATCAACATGGTTGTAAAGCATACACTGATTAATATGAACGGGGTATATCTTATGCATTCAAAGTCACTGTCTATCTTGATATACTTTGATGAATGAGGTAACAGCAAGTTAAAACAAAGCCTTAGGATAGTCAGATAATGGTTGTAACAGAAATTTATATGTTCGAATATCTTAAGAATGTGTAAACACGTAGCTGAAATTCTTTCTTACTAAAATTAGTCTGTTATAGTTTTTAATGAACTTTATACATAGAAATTACACTATCAGTACAAAAAGCAACGTGATTTTGAATTTTGGGAATCTCGTTACATTCTCATTCATTATCAGTGTTTGCTTGAATTACTGGATCTATGTATTTAAAAGCAAGAAACCATGAACATAAATGAAGTTAGTTTATGAAAGTATTATGATCGGTTAGAAGACAATTAAAGCGTTCTTTTCTACACAGTTAAACACTTAATACGAAATAAAATTACACTCAAAATTGCTTGATAATAAATCCGAGATGTTTAATTACGATTTCATTCAATATAACGAGAGAACTAGGCAATATCCTTGAACTCAAATTGTTCGTAAGCATTTGATTCATCACTATAGAGAAACATATACAAAATGGTATAACAGCATAGTGATGCAGTCATTTGAAGCACAAATGAATGAAATGAACTGAAGCTATCTTATAGCGTGTAAATACTGCAGTTTGGTCATTTGATTATCATGTGACAGTCATACATAGCTATTTAAGTGAACCATAGATCAAAGTCGGAAGTAGTTGTGTTTTTCTTCGTCGAATTTTAATCCTATTTATTAAAGATCGAACAAAACTGGATAACTATGAAGCAGATCAATATTTTAACAACTAATCTGTTAATCCTTCAGTCTTATCGCTCATAGTGTAAATGGTACAGTATCTATTGTGCTGCAAGTAAAATATGGAAGTTAAATTTTGGACAACAATTAGGACATTCTCATCATTGAAGGTTGCCAACATAAACTTTATGTGAAAGGTTAAGCATAGAGAGATTTCATGTTTTTATTTCCTACTTGGTATCTTCGAATAAATAATATTTCTTAAAATTTATTCAAGTATGTATGAGTATCTGCATTTAAATTTGACCTTTTTTGAAGAGTTCTATATTTTAAAAGTGTTGTCTAATTTATTTTCATACTGTTGCAGTTAAATCACAATGTTTTTTGAGAATGAACTCTTGATTATATAACACAATAAGTATATATATACTTTTAGGACTTTATAGGTGAATGTACGTAGATCTTTTGAGTTTTATTTCGGTGGCTCGAACTCGGTAGCTTACTTTTTAAACTCTAAAATGCTTTACAGACAGTTACTAGTATGACTTCCAATTCATTTTTTAAAGTTATGATATATTTTTCAAACGAGATGTATATATTTGACTTTATTTTAATTCGTAAAAGATATTTCGGATGTCACAAAATCATTCTAAGATATTATCGACTTTTCATTAGATTGTTAAAAACATTCAAGATAATAGCTGTACTGTGAGAAGTTTGGTAAGTTGAAATAGAATGCATTGATGAATCTCATACTTCTTCCTAAAAATTACTGTACGAGAACAGAAACTAGTAAACAAAGCTGTCTTTAAAACTGTAAACTTATAAATTCCACCCATTTACATGTCAAAGTTTTAACGATTTTGATTGGCTGATTGGAACAACTAATTAACTCGATAGTCATTGGTTCAAATTTGAATCGATAAACGTTAAGCTGTATGACAATAGTATGGAACAGAAATTATGCCTAAGTGCTAGAGTTAGACAAAAATAGTTTTTGGAATGATTTTCAGCATTCACGAAATAAGCTTAAATTAAAAATACTAATATCTAGAATAGGCGAGAATTGGGTTAGTGTACTATTATTAAATAACTTGAAATATTGACAATAATCAGTAAATAAACTATTGAAGTTGTTCAGAACTTAAAGCACATATTTTTTCTCAAAATCTAACTTTTGGATTGAACTTGTCATTACTTCTGAACCTGTACAAGATTCAACATAATGTCAGAGAAAGATTATTATGGAAACAAAGTTTAACAGTTAATAAATCCATTAACTGAAATTTGGCTACAACCTAGGATTCTGTAGATCGAAAGCAATAGATTTTGGAAGTGGTAGTTCTTGAGGACATAAATATCCTGTATTCCGTTACTGAAATAACTCAATGGATTTGTTTTCTGCGAAGTAGAGGTGATTACAGTTGGTTACGTAATGAAATAAATTGTTTCCCGTGTAAACAAAAACAGAAAGGCATAATATTATTAGAACATTTTATGCAAATTAATTCAATTTTTGATTTGGGATTTATTTTAAAAGATTACAGTTTTATGGAACTTAAACACAAAAAGTAAAATTTTCAAGACATTTGTTTTTATAAATACACATACCTTTAAAATTAGTAACAGAGTTTCATAGGAGTATATTTGATTTAGTAGATATAAAACCGTGAGAATGTAGCTGAAGCATTCAAAGAGTAATAACAGAAATTCAAGTATAAGTTTTATTGAGCATAATTAAGAACTAATTCTTAGAGTAATTCGGATAACGCTAGTATCTGAAAATAGGTATATACAATGTTTTTAATTTAAAGTACTGTTCCATAATAAATTATTCTAAACCATTTACCGAAATAGTTTTAATCTTAATGATGAAAGGCGGAGTTAAATGGACATACTTTTGCTCATTTTCATGGTTTTGAAAAGTTTGAAAACGTGTTTTGTATTTGAAAAGGACTCATGAGCGTCAGACGACAGAATGTATTCGATACAATTTATCATTTTTTTAAAGAATAATAATGCGTAATTTATCCTTTGTTGCATTGTAGTGAAATACATTACATATGGGCTCATTGGATTAGTCAGAATTTTGGGTCGAGACTTCAATTTCTAGACTACCATTGAGCGATGTTAAAGTTACCTGGAAAAAATTCACCTACTTACTAGGGTCAAAGAGGATTGTAAATTAATATGAGGAATTAGCATTTTCATCATGAATTGAGATCAATGTAATACCAAAATGATATTTAGCCATCCGATTGAATAAATTCTACTCCGAAATCCCAGACTTACTATCTTAAAATTCATTAATTCGTCCATAACTTATAGTTCCTCCACTTGTTTTAAGGAAAATCTCGGATTATTGGTTTATTTCATGCACATCTATTGAACATTCTGAAACATTTGGTTACCTTGAATTATACGGTTAACCATCTCTAAACGGTTTCCTGTAATATGCATTTATAAATGTAATAAATATCAGAGGACGTAAAACTAAACTAGGCACTTATAAAACCACTATATCAGCTTCCATAAATCAAAGTGAGTACATAAATTATTCAAAAATAATTCTTAGATTATAATGACTTTAGAATAAAGATCTTGCTGAACACGAGAACTGGGACAGATGTGAATATTGATTACGTTTTTATTTAAATGGAATTTTAATTTCATGTTCATAGTATCCTTTATCAGTTGTTTTTAACAGCTATTTTGTTTGAAAGACTATCCGATTAGAAATTCATCAGTACATATTAACATAAGAGCATATCAATCACCAAAGCATTCTAGATTAACCTACAAACTAGTTTTATATTCCAAATGCCGTTATACTGATCATTTAAATCACATAACCAGTTTTAATAAGTATGTATGACCTTAACTAAAACGAGCAATCCAATTTACAGAATGAAACCACTTATTTTATACGCCTTCTGTGATTATTGATGACAAATTACTGGTTTACAGATAATCTAGCAATGAAATCATTCCGCTCGGAACACCAACTTAGTGTATCGGGCCATTAGGAAGGCCCAAGGACCGATGCGTGTTAATTCGTAGCTATAATTAACGGATAGGACTACATAGATATTATTCTCGTAGCGATTGGCCAATTTGTAGAATATAAAGTTTTAGACCTATTGGGTTAAGCCAATCAGATGTTAGTTACATTGTCTGAGCCTTCAGACAATTTAGATCTATCTGCCAACACAGGTAAAGCAGTTCAAGGTCACTAACGCTTGATTGGTCAATTCACGGAGCCAATTGAGTGATTGACCATAGTCCAATGAATCAAGGTTCAGTTTTCGCTCTCAGTGATCATAGTGGTTGACTATCTGGTTGATCTGTTTTTGATTCGTGACTTGATGATTGTAAGGAATTACCGGGTGAATTAGTGTTTGAATTTTCAAGATCACTTTGACCTTTATCTTGGTGGAACAAACTGTATCTCGCATTATTTTGACAATTTATCATGCTTTCACCTTTCTGTGTATGAAACCTATTAAAACGTAAGTCTCAGCTTACAGTATTTTTTGTATTATATATTTGCTGGCCTGAGCGACATTTTCATAACTACCTGACTTTGTATTATTATAATTTATTGTGTGTTGTAATTACTCCTATCTCTGCTCGGAATAAATTGGAGAGTGATATATAACTTGTCGAAGTATGTTATTGAGAGATATTTTAATTATAAAAGGACTCTAATTATAATAAGTTGGCTGTAAACTTGAAATTGACATAATGTTTATCGTGTTTTCGAAAAGCTTTCGTATTCAAGTGAAATGCATTTATGTCGGCGCCAAACTATTCAGTCCATTTAAGCCTATATTTCGGGGATGTAAACATATGGATATATTTCAGTTCTCAGCGTTCGACATCAAATTAAATCTAATTAAAAGTTGGGTTAGGTATCTCAACTGACAAAACATAGGGTTAGTTGCGTAGATGCCACTTACATAAGTTCTCTCGAATTTCGTTTTATTCATTTATAACGTAATCTGTTATACAACAACATCCAACTTGTAACAATACTATGTTTTCAATATGCTTAGTTCGATGCAGTTGCAGTGAAACTATCAGTCGAATGAAAGATAGATACTGTACAAATTCGTTACTTCGTTTACATATATTATCATTGTTAGATTATGTGTAAAGTAATAATATTTAGAATCTTTATCTGAATTAGTTACCATGTCGTTTGTTCATATGCACCACTATTTGGCAGAATGTTCTTATCTTCGTGTCTGAAGTACTACAGGTCACTGAGATACTATCCACTGTTAGGTTCGCATGAAATTAAAATGCTGAAATTTCCAATATTTTGGAAATTTCGTATTTTGTGACTTAAAAAGTACTTGGATACATCTTTGTTAAGTTTCACCTCGCAGTAAATTTGCGAAATTTGTTTGAGGAACAATAAAAAGTTAGTATTTTGTTTTCATCTTAATTTTACTATATAATTCGTTCAGGAGACCATTCTAAATATTGCAGGTTATTTCGAGATTTAGATTCACTAGTTTATGGTTGACAATATCTAGTATCCTTATGTAAAGCGGTTTCATAGAAATTGTTGCTCAATAATGAACATAACTAAGAAATCAATAACGGGAATCCGCAAACTATCAATAAGTCGATATCACTTAACGAATCATTGATGATTACGCAATAAATTCACTAGTTATCTTGTAAAAATTCTGCTATTAAGCTTATAGATTGGATTAGATAATCTACATAGGTGCATCATTTTCACAGAAACATCCTATGGTTTCTTGTTTGGTAACTTCCTAGTTAATTGCAAGAGTTGATTTTTTAAATTCACCAGTTATAGTTGTACATTTAGATTACTCAGAGAAGTTTATAATACTTAATAACGTTCTTGTTTGTTGGTTTTAAGATATTATTGATTATTTTTGGTTTTTTTGTCTTCATTTTCCTAAAACTTAGTTGTACAGAAAAATGCCAAATCCCCGGGAATTCGTTGGAGCTAGTTCAGGTTCTAGGAGAGGACGTCGTTCATATCCAAAGGTTGAAACTTTGAATAAAGGGTTAAACTGTGAACCTATAATATTTCATCGTGAATATACTAAACGAATTTTACCTCAGTCTTCAAGAGGTAAACCTAGAGGCAAAGCTGGTCGCCCTCGGAAATATAAAGTGGAGGTTTCAAAAAATTACCAGGATTCTCCACCTATTTCTGAAACGTTGGATTCATTTGCTCGTTCTCCTAGTCTTTCATCAGATAAAACACCATGTAAACGTCAACGCAGATTGTCAAAAGATGATCCTAATTCTATTCCTCGTCTTACTAGTCAGAAGTCTGATCGATCGAGTATCAAGATCAAGTCAGGTATGAATGAACGTTTTTTAGCTTTATTGACTGCTAGAATAACTTGACCATTAGTTAATTCAAAAAGCAGAATTAACTTTAGTTCAAGTAGTTGACTAACCTGTAGCTAATAAACAGAAAAGTGAATAGTTAATCAGATTAAACCACAATCTGTTTACGATTAAGAATATTGATTCATCTAGTTTACAGCTTAAATTTGTTTGGTTAGCTGATAGTGTTTATTTGTTTATAAATCTTGATTGAATATATTTGTGGAGACTAAATTACTCTGAAGAAAACTCATTCCTACGAGTTAAAAAAACACCATTCCAGTCTAATGGCTTAGAGAAGTTATGTTTTAGTACAAGACATGAATGTGGTGAGTTATATTTTACAAGGAAATCATTAACAAGGGCTGCTCAGGAGTCTTGTATGAGAGTAAACCATATGTGTGATACTCTTTAACTTTTCTTATTTAATTAACTGACATCAGATAATAATTAATCTAATCTTAAAAATTCAATTCACCTCCATTTATTTTTTTTACTAACTTATTTAGTAATATCATATCACATTGACTTATTCATTTTAAATTATTTAGATGAAGCTGTCTACAAACTGTCAGTGTCTCAGTCTTCTGAACGATCAAGTGATGATCAGTCTGTTAAAGTTAAAAATTTTACATGTCATGAGTGTGGAATGCAGTTTAAAACTAAAGGAAGATTTGACAAACACATACCTTGTCGCGTACATAGAAATTCTGAGTATTTTCAGAAACCCCATTTAAAGAGAGGCAGAAAATCATTGAATTCAAAGTAAGCTTAGTATATTTTTAGATACAATGCTTACTTTTAACCGGATTGAATTAGTATCAATTGTTGCCAATTACTAGTAATCAGTTGACAAGTATATGGTGATTGTATCTATCTACGTTAAAATGACAGTATTTGAATTCTAGTTCAAGTGACAAGGCAACATGCAAAATATCCAAAACCTATAGAGCTTTTTTATATTATAGGTTTAACTACTAAATAATGGAGTAATCTGTATGGTATCTAGTACCATCACTTAAGAGGTAGCTGAGTCGAGATTTTTCTTTTTTCTAGAAGTAAAGATCCGAAATATTGTTATACAATGATTAGATATTTTGTCAGACATAGCTCATAATGTAACTGACCTCTCTTTCTTGCTTTTTAATTTCTCATAGATTATCTAGGTCTGTTCTTTGTTTTCATTCTAAGCATATGATTGAAGTGAGTTAATTAACATGAACTGTGAAGTGAGAAATCTCATTTTCGCATCATTATACATCAAAGTAATTTATTCACACGCTTTGAGTCTCAATAGATTAGTGAGAATGCTTTCATTAAGCCAGGAGCGGTGAATTCAGAGACTTGTGACCATAAACCGATCGCATAGTTTTAAACAAATAATTATAGAAAAGGGAATTCACAGAACGGAAAAAGATTTTATTTTCAAAGATTGTGAATATTTAATGTTGAGAGTGCCCTTATTAATTTATGACGAAATACTTTGTAGACGTAATTTGATTTTATTCGTCAACATATTATTCGCAGCTGAAATTTAATATTTTTTCTAAAGCAAGATTTTATTTTACTAAGATCACAAACAGATCTAAGTTAGGTAACCATTAAAAACTTAGGAGTACTGGGCAGCCGTTTCATTCCAGTATAGGACTACTCACCAGTCCGCGTCCCGGACCGTACAACCGGGAATCGGTATGCCATATCGTTTTTTTAACTTGGAGTGATTGGTGATCTCGGTAAAATTTAATAAGCTTATAATTCCATACTGATAAATATTTTACTTAATAAAATACAATATATCTTCGTAATTAGATTTAACAATGGGTTATATTTTTTTATAATTCAGTTATTTCCATCACTGCACAAGTCATACTCTAGCCTCAGTTGACTTGATCACTGAAATTCGTAGCTGGATTTCATGTAGTATACTCCAAGATTTATCATCGTTATTATGCTTGGTCAACCATCTTCATGATATTTAACTTTCTTTTATTCAAAATTTACATAGTTGCATTAATCTATTCATTTTATTCATTTTCTTGTTCACTTATATAAGGAATGCTTTATTATCATCAGTTTCAACTTGTTTTTAATTCCAAGTTGCTATGATTATTTAATAAGTTAATATTCTTATCTAAAACGAAATATTTGTGTGTCGTTTTGTGATTGGCTATATAATAACTAGTTGTTATCTGATTGGTTTATAAAATTGCCTATTGTTTATTTGGCCGATCTCATATAAAGACTTAGAATTTAGTTGAGGGAATAGTCGTTTTTAGCAGTATATTTAATTTTTTATGTTAAATGTATGTTTTTTCATTGTAATTTCACAAGTGAAAGTCCATAATGGTCAAATATGACAATTTAGAGAACATGTAGGTGATTTGGTGTAATTATTATTTCAACCTCGGTTTCGGACTTATAAACTGTTAACGATACTGATACAAAGGGCTCCGTTGATATTTGCTCTTATCAGATATATTACTACGCATAATAATGATAATAATTATCTATGGCACATTAATGCATTCTGTCGATGTATGGTTGATGTTCAAGGTCATCTTGAGTAAACAATACGAGAAATCTACTGGTAATCGAAAGCAACGGTAAGACGCACATACACACAGGAAAGTGCATAGTCTTGTTTCGATAGAGGATTTATGTTAGATTTACGGGTTCTTGGGTCGATTAGTACATATAAGATCTGCGATTTATTTCGGTTGGGTTTGAACAATATCGTGATGCGTTATCAAACTGATTCAATCTCTCAGAACATCAATCTTCAGAGATTACTAGATGATAGCCAGAAGTGCGTTAAATATTGACCAGCGTCTGCTGATCCTATATGTAAGGAAAATATTTCTTCTCAGGAATCCTATTTTATTGTGCACACACCAATGTGATTACTTCTTAAGAACAAAGAATTACTCATTTTGTCAATTTTCTTTTAAAAGATGGTGACATTCGGGAATTATTTTCTTACAATTCCGTTTATATTCATCACTAATAACCAAAAAGTAATAAGTTGGATGCATTTGGTTTCAAATTGTTTTATTTACTTGAATGTGAATACCATTATACTAATTAATTGATACTTGCAATTGTTTTAGGTCATTGAACAACATTAAGCTTCCCTCTTGCTCAATTCAGCGTAAAAATAGTGACAGCGGTAAGTGAAATAATTTTTTAGAAGAGCCTTTGTTTGAATAATATGATTTCTCCCCTCTGTAAAATTAACAAAATTTTTATCATCACCGATTTGTGTACTTAATGTAGGTAGTAAATCGTGATGTGGACAGATTATCGGTAACATATTCAGATGCGTTATTGAAAAATGTCAAGATGCATGGATTGTTAGAAAGTAAATATCTGTACTGCATACTATTCTTCTGTTCTATTCATTGGGTATACGATATATCCAGTAAGAAAAAAAGATTTGTTGAGGTAACAGGCAGTAGGTCATGGGTGTCCTTAAAGGAATGTTAGGTATCCGGTTTTAGATTGAGAGGGTGTTAAAGAGTAAGTTTTCTGCGTGTGAAGCGAAATTTCGATTGTTAAAATTGATGAATGAAATACCAATCGAGTGATGAACGCAATGATATAATGTGACCGAGTAATGGGTACCAAACGGTATAATTCACCTGGGCCCCTTAATGATTAGAAGTCAACGACGAGACCAATAGCCAGATGAATAATTTTTCACGTGGTAATTAATATGCTGATATGCAAAATATGAACACAAAATAAACAATAAAATGTCTTAGGCGATTGGGGGAAATGAGCATGTACGTCATTCATTCTCCAATCATTTAAGACCTGAATGATAAGCCTAATCATTGAGCATCGTAGCAGAGGGTAAGCTAGTTTATGGTGTTATAAACTTTCAATGGTTGAGCATTTACCTAGGGAGTTGTAAGGTTCTTATATGAGGTCATTGAAATGATAAGTGTTTGGAAATGACAGTTAACATGGCTCAGCATCGATCACATTAATGCTTATTGACCTACTCTATGTCTCTTATGTTTTTAATATTCTATTAACTTCATACAATTTTTCTCATTTATAAACTTGAATAAAAAAGAGCAGATATCGTAGCAGAATAACATGACTTCATTTATTTCATGGATCCTCCTCATTTACTTACAACCTAAAGCCGTATCATTACTCATTAAAACAAAACAAATACACGTTTTTTATATCGGAAACGTTTACAGTGAATTTAGTTAGTATGTGAAGATAGAATAATATTAAGAGACTAAAATACGGACGAATTAATATTGTTCAAAGTCTGCTTATTTGCAGGTTAAATATGTGAGTATTCTAGAGGATCATCGTAACAGATATTTGTTCTCGAAACCAAAGATAAATTATATAACGTAGAATAGTTGAGTAAATCTCAGAAGTAAGAATTAAGATATTAGAAATTCTAATGGTTTTAGCAGCTGAGGCGAATCTATAAATAAATGAATTCATATTATTCAGTTACGATATTTGTTCTTTCTTTATGACTGAGGGTTATTACTCAGTCATAGAAAACCAAGTGAGGAAAGATTATAGAATACAACTACAAATTAATAATATTCATCAATATCAAACTATTACAACAAAATGTAAGTTTATCTTAGAAGCAGTTAATTCAGAAAATCGAGCTTTTGGCTAAAAATAGTCCACCGATCGTAAAGTACTAGTAGTTTGTATTGACAAATTGTATTCGACTCTGTTACTTCGATGCAGTTTACATCACAAAGTAAAATTTATAATCAGAAGACCGTAATCAAACATATTTTTAACCTTGTTTCCTTGAGAGTAATGATTTATTATACGGGTTAGCTTTTGTTAACTGGTTAGTAAATGTATACGTTAAACTTTAGATTCATATGAAATGAAGATGCAGAATTCAGCAGACTTGTGGTAGTTTTCAATTTTGTCATGAATAATTGTTGTGACGTTAAATATTTTTAAACTAAAATGAAATTAGTGCTTTTTTCATCTATGATTTATATAAGTTTTTACAAGTTTTGATACGCCTGAAGTAATCGGGGGGATTTTACCTAAAATTTCTTCGCTGGACCTGGATTACTTTTTATGTGTATCAATGTTTCCAATTTTAACTGAGATTAACATATATGTTTGTATTCGTGCAGTCATGTGCTTGTTTGCCAATGCGTATGCAAACATGAGTACATATAATACTTCACCTGTCTTTCACGTGGTTTTGATGCTAATTGTCGTAGTCATTACATCATTTGATATTGCGATCGTCATTAATATCAGTGAAGTGGAAATACAGTTTAAGTTAGTTTTAACTTCTTCAGCTAGTGAAGAGTCAAATATTTTACTCGATTTTGCTTTTTCCTCCTTTCTTTCTGTTTCATTTAAATAAAGTGATATATTGCAATTAGTGTTTACTGAATTCATGTTTTGGTGTATTTAGTAAGAGTTCCTTTTTGAAAACATTTTTTGGATCCTTTGACATTCTCAAATGAATTTCTCAGTTCAGTTTACAGTGCTGTATTATACAATCCAATATAATAGTGTTAACTGTATGTACACATATAAAATTTACTCTACAGTGGTACAGTTGACTATTTTAAACAACGTTATCCTATTCAAGTCAGTCAGTTATATTGATCTTTAACGCAGGTTACATTTCCTGGAGCAAACCATTTATCAAACATTAATAAAAGTGGTTAGTTTGCCAACTTTACATGAAAGTTTTGATATAAAAAATATTTTAGTCAGAAATAAGAGTTAAGAAATAGTAGCTAAAGAAAAATCACGAACACTCTAGTGAGTAATAATGCAGGAATATAAAAGACAGCTGACCTCTATTAAAGGTCATCTATTCAATCTTGTGAATTTATCGTTTTGTGCTCATTTCGTTTTGGATATATGTATATAATTACTTGTAGACATTATGGACACAAGGTTTATCACTTGTCTGTTGGAAAATATATTTAGTCAGTTAAGTTCTCTTCATAATTTCTAACAGGATGTGACATCAGTATGTTTCTTCGTGCGTGAAACTCTTCGTTTTCCGACACACTTGTCTACCTTATTAATCATTAAATAAAGGGGTTTATAAACTGGTAGAATTCTTTCTGAGTACCCTATTGCGATAACAGATGATCTACTCGGTTTGTATCTTTCATTAGAGTTGGCCCTTTGTCACATAGTTTCTAAACCAAGAATGAAGTTGCATGAGCTTTTTCTCTAGGTATACTCACAAATAATGTATTCACCCCTTATTTTAAATATTTAACTGTTCGGTACATTTAATTACACTTTATTTACTTGTTTTTTATTACCTCTTTTTTATTGTCCTTTATTGTTGTTGTAACGTTACTTTTCAATTCGTCGGTATTCTTATGTTAAGATGTTGCAACTTAAACTGAAATACATTTAATTCAAGCATTATATTGTTTCTATCTAATGTGGAAAGTGCTCTTTAATTTGTCACAACGGTTGTCATTTTTGCTCAAATAGACTTGCCCATGTAAAAAAGAAAGTAAACCCAATTTATGAAGAAAAACTTTGTGTTATTCAAATTTATTAAATCAGCGTTTCTTCCATAAACTGAATTATAGAGTTTGGTCTCATTTGGAATTCCGTTTGCACAAAAGACTTATTACCGTGATAGTAGTAACAATTACAACTAATGTTAAAATAGTAACTTATAAAGATACTATTTTTATTATTCATAGAGATTATATATAGCACTTGGTGCATGTTTGTTTAAAAATAGGAAAGTGATAATGTAGTTAATTTATGATTTAATCATCTTTATATGAATAACGTAACAATAAATTCTTTGATCATACCACTAAAATATACAGGTTAAATTCTCTCAAGGTAGCACCAAGTTTCTTCCAGGATCACCTCTATGTTTCGCTGTTTAGTGCAAATACATATAACAGGGTAGATTAAAATTGTGTTCAAGAAGAAAATATCAAATGTAAATAAACTTTCCCTGGCTACTGTTTTTATTTAGCTTGTGATTTCTATGTTAAATCTTAGAATCAATCTAAACAATTGAGTATCGGTTTTTCACTGTTTTACTAGTGTTTACATATTGAGGAGCCACAATTAATTCATTTAATAGTTGCAAATGGTGAACATTTCTCTAAGTCTTTACGCCATAAATGAATACTGTTGAAAAACTAGTTTTTCACGTGGTTACTAATACTACGAATTAATAACCAAAGTAAACCTAGTGTCATTGGCCTGAAGTTATATTTATCGTGTTAAGTGTCACGGTTTTACTAAGTATTAGCTACCTGTTGTGTGTGACTTGATTACCACACAGTTCAACAGAATAAATCAACAGAACGAGAACAAACAATCAGATTTTCAGTGTCTCACATCATTTATTTACCCTAAGACCAATTCGAATAAGGAGTTAAGTGAATACCGAAGACTATAATTATCTCTACTTTTGATGATTGTACAGTGAAAAATATATAGGTATTCTAGATAAGTGAGACCAGGAAAATCTAAGAATGTGGTTCAGATTTTTAGAAGGCTTATTTTGAATTTTTGAGCTTAGTTTAATTAAAATCTTCAATACGATGAATTGAAAAGTTATCTTTTTGGAAGTTGGTTGTAGTTGAGCACTTAGGTAGTGGAACACTACGGAATCTCGATTATTTGAAAGTTTGGTTTTAATCGGTTACTCAGTCATTCATCATTAACGTAGAGCCTGGAACATATGCATTGGCTCAAGTTGCCACACCGTATCAGCACAATGAGATGAAATTCACATGACGAATATCAAGAGAAATTGAAGTAATGTAGTAACAATAACAAGAAGAAAGAATAACCATTGAGAATATAGTTCGAAAGACAGTGGAGAGGTATGTATGAAGGAAAACTGGAATTCAAGATATTGGGATAAGAAGTGAATGTATTTACAATTGACTGATCACGTCGTTGGCCAATGTCATATGTGTCAGGTCCTTCTTAGTGCAGATCGAACCTAGGCTAAATCTAAACTGTCACTAGAAGTCTGCAGCCACTGATAAGAGTTATTACAAGGACCTCAACTGGGTAGTCTGCATCTACTAGAATGTCTCGGACTGAGAGTTAATAACTTTATGAACCAATACTATGTATTGGTTAGGACGTTCCTGACTTCCAATCTAGTCCTATTTCAGCAAATATTGCCTACTGGGGTAAGCCATGAACAGGCGTACGGGACCCATGTGCTAATCACCTCAGTCGATGAAAATTCACTACTTCATCAACTAGTTTCATGCCTTCGGTAAATACCTCACGTTTAATCTCAACATTGTTCACTTGGTGATTCTATAAGACTTGAGTAATACTTCGAAGACACCTATAATCAAAAAGCCTCATCCTACGCATATATCTTACTTCCAAAGACCGTGTTTCCCGCCCATAAAGCAATGCAGAGCGGATTACTGCGAAGTGTCGGCTACTCGATGACTTCACGTCGAGTGTTTAGACTGCTGTTATTTTTAAAAAATAGTCTTTTCAACTCCCTTAGCACACCTGGAAATGATCAGTTTTTATGCTTTTGAATTTCAGTAATTCAACTGGTATCACTTCTTAACAGTTAATAACTACTAAATATTCAAAATAGTGAAACGTCTGTTCAGCGACTAAATCACTTGACTTTCATTCAATAAACAACAAATCCAAACCCTGCATCATCTAGTTCAGTTTAGGTAGTCAGATAGTGTTATAGGCCTTTAAAAAAACTATGGTTGGAAACTGAATACATGAAAGTTTTCACAACTTAAATGTATGATTTGAGAATAATATATAGATAAAAAGTGCACTTTATCTTTTGTTGGCCTATTAAGTACATGCAAAGAACATACGTCTGGTCAAAATATACATCTACTTTAATCGTGGACATTTTGTTTAGTTTTTCTCGCTTTCTTATATCGTATGTATTTACGGCATGAAAGCACTTTTAATATCTAGTGAATAGATTTCATTAGTTGTGATCATGAAGGAAAGGAGAAAGGTCACTTTAATGATGGATATAGAAATTACCCATACACATTCTATGGAATGACCTTTAAATAGATGATCAGCATACTAACAGCTAGGATTGGTTTATAATTATTCTCATTATAATAGTGACAAAAATCCATAGGTTTGTACTTTTTGATAGTTATTGAACACGTCTAAGCTTACTGTTGATTCAAAGGTAAAAACGCTTCCACCTTAGCAGTTATAACCTTCAACTCATCATAATCATTGTTCCTTAACGTCTCTCTGCACCTTAGTGATTAGTTCCATTGACAATCACCTATTTGTTCGTAAAATATAAAGTAGTTTCAAACGAAACAGTTTATTTATACGAATATTATGTTGACTTAATCGTTTCATGTAAATATGAAGTTGGATTGACCTGTTCCCTGCAATCACTTATTTCTATGGAATACTATTACATATTATTATTTATGGGTTGTTATAGAACCTTCACTTACCATAATTATAAAATCATCATTATTGAATAGTAACGTATCGAGGTAGTATTTTATGTCAACTTTCGCTTAAATTTGAACGAATAGTTCCACATTAGTTGTCGAGGTTCAATGAGTTTATACTATTTGGTTACTTAAATTAAAGTGTATAGAACGGTTTTTGGAGTATTCAAACCAGTGGTTGAAAATGAAGTATTTTATTCACTTATACATAAAATTATCAATTATTGTATTGATACGGTAAGAATTGTGTAGATAAGTTTTATTACATTGCAATAGTTGTATACATTTGACAACCTACGTTATTTTCATATGTATGCATTTTCTCATTTTTCTACATTTTCTAGTGGATCAAACCTCATTACTTGTTCGTATAATTGGTAAAGTGAGTAATACCTTCTTTATCCTGATTTTAGTGTTCATGTAATTTATAAATGAATTGTTTATTTATATACTAAATTCTCATTTAAATTTACTATAAAAAGACTAGGAATATTACTGGTCTGTTCAAATTTAAATATTTTCGATCTTTTCAATGTAAAACAAATAGTTTATATCAGTATAGTGGTTGTGGAGACTGCTGAGGAGTCCCACAATAGGACGAAACGGCCGTCCAGTGCTTCCACGTTTTCAATGGTGGTCTAACATCAATCGGTTCATGATCTCAATCGAAATAGTTTATAGTTTTATAATTAGTCTGTTAAATTTCTTCTAAATTACATTTTTTTAAAAATTTGGTCATTGACTGTAGAGGCTTTTTCTTCTTAAATGTTATATGACGAGATAACTTCTGTTCTTATTATCGGTAGATCACTTTCATGATGATAATATAACTAGTACAAAATCTGACAACAAATAAATTCACCGTGGAATTCGTATTATTTTGTTTGTTTTTGTAATTTACGTCTTGATCATTATTACAGCTTAATACGGTTACACATCTTTTTTATCTAAACATACCTACATCAAAGGAATACAACTAAAAGAATTAAATAGTGGGAGTCTTAAGGATATTTTTTTTCTCTCTTAAAAATAACTAGCTGAATACGTTGATGTTACATTTTTAAAAGATACGACATATCTTGTTAACGAGAAAAATGTATGTCATATATTCTAGTAGTTCACAATCAAAAATTCAGATTTTTATAAGCAGATGTAGAAAGATCTATTTAAGGTAATTGTAAATAATAAATGAAGTAAAACAATTAAGAATCAGTCAAGTTGTCGGGCTGTTATTGCAATTAACTATTGAATCTTGACCTTGGCCAGTTAGAAGTTATCTTCAATAGCTCTGATGTTTGTATTCTTTTTAATGGTGAGAATGATGAATTGACTTGATTGAATACGTGAATAGATTATCATCATAATGATTATCGTTGTAATATTTAGTTCTACTCTTAATCAGTTAACCTGTCTGCTAATAAATCAGTTTAGTTGTATGAAGAGGAAGTTAAGTGAAACTGATTTAAAAATTATACACAAAAATCTAATTAGTGGATCTATCTGTGAATAATATTTTCTCGTATATTTGTCTGTTTCTATTAGGCATTTCAGTGGAAAACATAAAATTTTTATTTGCTTTATGCCAAAACTAATTCCAATTTACCATATATATATGCTTGATATATATAACAGTATTACAAGTTATTACCATTTCACACTAAGCAATTTCGGAGTAAGACAGAAACTATTGGGTTGAATTCTGCTTGAGGTTATAAGTGTACACTAGAATATAATGGTTCTTCAGTACTCTCTGAACTTCAGTGAATTAGGTTGAGATTATTTAGTGATGACAATAATCTTCAGCTTGATCATTATGTTTTGTTTATGAATTGTTTATCATACTGGAATGACTACACTTTTTTAGGGAAGCCAGGAATCATTATCAACAGTTCATCATGTTTCTTTTTTCACGGTATCATTGTCTAAGATTCATCATTATCATGAATAATTAACGCTTCTTTGAATAGCTTTATGTATTCATGTTACACTTTTAAACTTTCATTTCAAGATAGTTATATTGTCTCATCAGCCCTTGTGGTCTTGTGTGTGACGAAATCTCAGCACGGATACAGAAGGTTCGACTAGCTTTTGCCAACTTGCGTCATTTATGGCGTAGGCGAGATATCCGTCTATCAACCAAAGGACGAGTTTACTGCGCAGCAGTTCGTTCCGTCCTACTTTATGGCAGTGAAACATGGTCGGTAAGAGTAGAGGATATTCGTAGGTTACTAGTATTCGATCATAGGTGTTTTCGAAACATTGCTCGTATATCATGGGACCATCGAGTTAGTAACACAGTTGTTAGGAAACGGGTACTAGGTAAGGATGGCAAATCAATTGATGAAGTAGTGAAACTTCATCAGTTGAGATGTCTGAGACACGTGTTACGTATGCCCAACGACCGACTGCCTCGACGTGCTATGTTCAGTGGTATAAGAGTAGGTTGGAAGAAAGCTAGAGGCGGCCAAACCAAAACATGGCACAAATCCATGAAGTCACTGACAAGTGGACTGAGGCATGTTGGTAGGTGTAGACTACCTGGTTGGGGATCACGAGAAGATAGCAACCGATGGTTAGAGACTGTGAATGACATGGCTCAAAATCGTTTGCAATGGCGCAGGTGCATCCACTCTTTGTGTTCTCCCAAATTCTAATCTTCTGAATTCTTCATGTCCCATTTTTTCCTCTTTCCAAATTTATTTCACTGTATTATACTCTTTAAATAACATCTCCAAACACTAATCTTCCCGATTACTGCTTATACTCTTATTACCTCTACCACTACGGGATTTGAATCGACAACTGCATCTCTGTGCTAAGGTGGTGTGGCAACTCGAACTGATGTACGTACGTACGAAGTTCTACGTTGTTACTGACTGACTGACTGTCTGCAGTATTGCTACAATGTGATTAAATAAATGAGAATTTAATGCATTGAATTACTTGAACAAATAGATTATTTTTTAAATCTAGAAAATTTTCACAACGGTACTACAGTTCATTCAAATTGTCACATATTCAAACGTTAAACAAAGAATAAAAAAATTTTATTCAGTGGAAAAAGAAATATATACATACATATATATTAACGAATTGTTTGAAAAATAAAATTAATAAATTCGTTTACATTATTGTGAATAATTTTGGATAGAACTGTAGTTTAATGGCTAAAGCATTTCAATTTCAACTATTACATTTTGCGTACATGATAACAGTCACACAAATAACTGATTTAAGACTTATACGACGTAACACAGTTCAAATAAATGGTTAGCTTGTTTAATGAACTAGTATCTAAGCCCTTTTCCTCAAGTGTCTTCGTGAAACCTTTTAGTGTTGTGTATTTTTACCGTATCTGATTCACTAATGAATGTTTATGTCTTAGTTATATCTGCGAATATTATGGACTAATTATGAAATGAAATTCAGTTGTGTATATCTAATTGTCTCTGGTTAAAGATTCTATAGTAAAGAAACTGTCAAATCAGTCTAGTCAACCAATGTAAGTGATAACTTGTATTGAACAAAAAAAACACTAACAACTTGTTTCACTGATTCCACCTTATTTATCTAAACTTTTACATGAAATCTAGTTTTCTTTTTATTTGTTGCTTATTTAATACTTTTAAAATATCAAAGAAAATATATACTTTAACATGTTCAGATTGTCTACATTCACTGATCATGTTACATAATCAATTATATGTCGAAAGTGATCTTATTATTCCACTATACAACTACCTCTTTGATAGGTCACATCATATGTGGTGTAAATTTTAAAACGTCAACCAATCATATTATTCAATCATTACACTATTTTTATTATGTTAAAAAAATTGTGAAAAGTTCTCCTTGTACTTCTGTAAATTACACTATATATATACATAAATATTTCTAATTAATTTTAGATTAAAATCATTCACTTTTTAATCGATTATTTGTATTAAATAAAAGCAAGTTAAAGAGAACATTATGCCTGTCTATTTTTCTAGAGTAATAATAGTAGTAATAATAATTAATTAATTACCAATAAACATTTATTTAAATGTCCTTGAATTTTAATCAATAAGAAATCTTTACTTTTCTATGTCTATATAAAATTAAGAAAGTTAAATTAATTTATGAAATTTGTGTACACTTTGTTACTAATAATAGACGCGTGAATGACCACATACATACATAGATATGTGTGTAGATATATGTTATGCTTATGTGTTACAAGAGTACGTGTTTTTTTTTGTGCAATATATATATATATATATATATATATATATAGTTGTTGAAAATGAGAAGAGCTAAATTTAATCGTTTACTATTACTTGTCGATTTATGTATTATGACTTACATTATCATTTAGTATTATTTCATTAGTTTTCCATATTGATAAATTTATGATTCCTTTGATCTTATATCTATCTATCTATATATACCCTATAGGTTAATATTATACTTTCCTAATTGTTATGATCAAGTGATTACAAGGTTTTCAGACTTATATTTAGTTTTGTGCCAAATTAACAATTATAAATAGTGTTGATTTAATAAAAAAATATTTCAATGATTTTAACGCTGAATTCTTAACGATTAAGCTATTGATTAGGTGGAGTTAATAATTAGAAAGTGCAATAATTTAAATGGATAATTTTTTGTGTACTCAGGAGAAAAAATGGAGTAAAGTATATTTATAGCGTATAATGGATGTTCGATATTTTCCATTGAATACGAAATTAAAGTCCAAGCTGATTTAGTAAATAGTTGAGAAATAAGTTATGATTAGTTGTGTTTAGCCATGCTAGAAAATGTAACAGATATCACCGATTGTAATGGAAATTAATTGTGCAGTTTATCACGAATTCATTGACGTTAATAATAGTGATCATTGGGTCCCAAATCAGTTGTCTAGACGGTTATCATTTCGAAGTTCAATATCATGGGAGGTTGTGGGTGGAGATCAATGAATCACAAACTAGAACAAACCAGTTGTTCAGTATTCTTTGGTTTTCCATGTTTCTCCAACTGATATCAGTCTCTTATGAAGCCTTAATTTTAAATGTGTTATAGTTCTATACAGTATTGAAAAAGTTAGATACGAAGTAATAAAATACTTTTGGAAAATGCTGAAATCTCATCTCAACTTCCATCATGTCATTTAATATTTTATGCTAACTCAGCCAGGTCTCTTAAAGTTAATATTATTGCTACCACAAGTTTTTTGTTTGTTTTAAAGTTGACCTTGAAATTTTGTTATATAGTACAGCTCATATTACCTTATTTTGAAAAACAAATACACTGAGGTCATGTTTTATTTATCATAGACTAAGTTATCATGTCTCAATCTGTACATGTTCTTTTTGAATCGCAACTTGTTATCGTTTAATGTTC